TATTCAGTATATTTGGTCATGGTAATTGGCTCAGGTACAGGTATGCAACCCAAGATAAGCCAAGAACATAATTCTGGGATTTTTGTTAGCTGGTTGAGAATGAAAGTGCTCATTGTGCTGAGACTTGGAGGTGCCAGCAATCCCAGTGTGGACATCACAGGTCCATGAATGAAGCCAGAAGAGAGAGGAACAGAACCAAAAGATTTAAATAAAAGAAGTTGGGCCCTGGCTGGTGTGACTCAGAGGATTGAGTGACAGCCTGTGAATCAAAGATTCATCCTCTTGTCATTCCCAGTCAGGACATATGCCTAAATTGCAAGCCAGGTCCCCAGTAGGGGGCACACAAGAGGCAAACACACATTGATGTTTGTCTCCCTCTTTCTCCCTCCTTTCCCCTCTCTCTAAAAATAAATAAATAAAATCTTAAAAAAAAAAGAAGAAGTTAGGGGAAGGGACCAAGCCCTGTGAGTGGTGGTATTTAAATTCTTAGATCTAAACATGATCTCTGAAATCAGCCTGGATTCATAGATACTGTTTGTAAGTTGGGCAAAATTACTTAACCATTTCTTCATGTAGAAAATGACTTCAATTTAATCTTCATTTTGAGGATTGAATGAGATAGCATGTAAAAATTTAGAATACTGCCTGACACAGAGCATGATGGAAAAGTATTAGGCTTTGTTAATATAGCCATTTTAATCTATGGCATTTCAGTTATGCATAGGAATAAATTCTCTTTTTTGCTTAAGCTGGTTTGAGTTGGGGTTCTATCACTTTCAACCAAGAGAGTCTTGTCTAAAACAATTAATACAATGCATAAAGCCTCAAAGTGTATAGTTTATGGCAGCCAAATTCCCTTCAGTGTGCTGAGGCAGAGAAGGGGGATTTGAACCAACTGACCCTGGACCATCTGGCTCTCCTTAGTTGATGTCTATCAGTAATTTTACCTGAGCTCTATCATCTCCAACTCCTAGCTTGGAAAAGAATTTCCTAATCACCGTCCTATTTATATTCCCGAAAACCCCCTTCTTCTATATTGCCTGCTATGATAATTTCTTTTAAAAGTATACAAAATACAAAAAGTGGGAAATCAAACGTGAGAGTGAAAAAATGAGAGAAAATATTTCTATAATTAAAATACATTTTCTATTGCTTTTTATTTCTCAACCCTTAAGCTGGAAACTTTTTCCATACTGATTTAGCGTAAATAATATTGTAAGTAAGCAGCCTACATGCTAGATAGCATAATTTTCTTGGTGTCGATTTCTAGAGGGATATGAGGGGGATTTGCATGCTTAATTCCCATTAGCACCTGTCACTGGGATTTATTATCCCAGAGTTAATTCTCCACTCACTGCAGCCAAGAAGAAGGAAGCCCTGGTACATGGATTTAAATTAAGCTTTTTATTTTTAAGAATGAGTTGAATTTCATGTTTGTCCCTGAAACACCTACAGTATTTCAGTCCTAGAAAATTCATATTTAAATTCATTTTTGGTAAAAATGCACCCAAATTTGATCTTATTCAACAACTAGAAAAATGTATTCATAATTTGAAAATTTGTTTTGGGTAAAAAAAGAAATCTTAATCCAGGACTTAGGTCAGTTTTTAAGTCCATTGGGTCTCATTCTTCCATTCAATATTGAATAAATATTTATTGATCATCTATTATCTACCAGGCAGTTTTCTAGGTTGCGTGTATAGAGCAGTGAAACTACAAGGAAAAAAATTCCCCCTCATGAGAAGCATAAAATCTATTGGAGAGTACTTACATATATATAGAAATGTATGTTTGACCTATATGTTTGTCTACTACATATACCTATATGTTGTACATATACATGTACATATATGTGATTACATTAAAAAGTGCAAGACGGAAAATCAAATGAGGTGAATATAATTGAGCATGATGAGGTGAGTGCTATGTTAGGTAGCTGATCAAAGGCCTCTCTAAGCAGTGACATTTTAGACCAGATCTAGGTGAAGTAAGTTCACAATCCTACACTTAGAAGCATATGCAATACTGCATTATCTCTTTCATGACAAAAGTAGAAGGGATGTTTCAAGGAAAGTTTCATGCGCAGCCATTGATTGTAGGAAACTCACCTGCTTCTCTCCCCTCCCTTCCCACTCCATCTCCACCTATTATCCCTCGAACCTTTCTCTTGCCCTCTTCAGGCTGAATTTCTGTATTGAACTGCTACTTCCCTTCTTGCCTTTTACTTTTCCTTTAAAGAATTAATTTCATGCAGTATCTGCCACTGAGCACTTCAATGCCCCAGACATGATTATGCTAGCTAATTGTTTTTAATTCACTATACTTTAAGGTTTCTCCCCTATTGGGCCTTTATGGCAAGCAACCGACCAATATTAACTGGACACCAAATATATATTGGGCTTTCTGTATTTGGAGCTGGAGATGATATGATAAACAGACAAAATCTCTGCCTTATAAAGAGTTAAATTCTAGTTAGAAAAGATAGGCAATAAAATTATAAATGAATAAACAAACAACTTTTAGCTGTTGTGAATATGATAGTGATATATGTGGTGGTTTCTTACTACTGCTGTTCTTCTTGGAAAAATTGTAAAGGCATTTATGAAATGTAATCATAATCCCTTCTGGTAAAGTCATCCTCAAAATAAATGACAGTTATGAGTGGCCTAGATGCACTGTCCAACATGGTGGTCACTAGTCATGTGGTTATTTAAATTAAAATTAATTAATTGCATAAATTAAAACTCCCAATTTACACTAGCCACATTGCAAGTGCTCAATAGCAACGTGTGTTAATCACTACCATTTCGGAAAGCATAGGTATGAACACGTTTGTTAGTGCTGAAAGTTCTGTTGGACAGCACTGGTTTAGATACTACACAGCTGATGGAAATCTCTTATTAATGGTAAGAATAGCAGCTAACAATTTTATGTGTTAGACACTTCACATATGTTTAACTCATTTTTTTAATCACAAAACCCCATGATAGTTACTGCTTCTAGACCTATCTTACAGATTAGGAAACTGAGGTATTTAGTTTTATTGCTCAATATCTGTCAACTAGTCATAAGAAATGCTAAGAATTAAACCAGCCAGCCTGGTTTGAGATCCTATCCTTTGACCAAAATATCATGGTATGGGAGAAGCTAAAAAGAGTGAAGAAGAGATTTTAGCATGGCAGACAGCATCTTCGTAGAAATAAGAAGTGACCAGATTTATTAATGTCTTTGCCAAGTAAGTATGACCTTTGCAGATCTATCAGACTCATTCAAGACACATTTTATTGCCTAGAGGTTTAGATGGAGCTTGGCAAGCAGAATCATGGAGAGTTAGAATTGAAAAGAACTTTGAAACCATCTAATAAAATACTTCACAGATGAAGAAACTGAGACATGCAGTTTACCTGACCTGTCCAGAATGACAGAGAGAGTTATGACCACAGCAAACATTAGACAGCAAGCTTCCTGCCTCTGCGTGTGTGTGTGTGTGTGTGTGTGTGTGTGTGTGTGGGTGCGCGCGCGTTTCCACATTGCCCACTTCGCACGAAGAGCTTACAATTTCCTTGATATGTTATTTATCATTAGCTTAGAAATATACTAATTTTGACAAATGGTTTTATTCTTCCCAAACTGTTAGCGGTGCAAGTGTGTACTGACTTCTTAATCCATCCACTTCTTTTCGTCTAGCCTTCATTATTTTATCCACTCATTCTTACACTCCTCCTTAGCTACCTAGCCAATTCAAAAAAAGAAAAACGTAAAAAAAATTCATAGAAGTTCGAGTCCTTACACAAGCAGTTAGGAGTTTGGAAAACATGTCAACATGTCATTGGTTCCACCATCACTTTAAGCAAGTCTCTACAAATCTTGTGCATTGTTTTTGGGAGTTTCTCCGGATATCGGTGTCATCTCACCAAAATGCTTGCAGATAAACCTCTGTTGGAGAATGAGTTTTCCTTGAGCTTTTTAGTTTCTGTTCCGCAACAGAGAGGCCAAAGGCTCCTAGAACGTTAAGCAGTCTAAGCGGAGCCGACAGCCCCAAGAATGCAGCCGGTTGGGGCACTGCTTTTGCCTCCCCACCAGGCAGGACTTCAGCTGCTTAATGAATCTCAAGACGCGAAGTCGTAGAAGGAGTCCAAACCCGGGGAGTCTGGCTCAGGCTTTGTTGGCACCGAGAAGAAGCTGACCGGCGTTGGGTTGAGCTCCACAGGACACAGCCAAGAGGCACGGGGTGCGCCGCGGCGCTCCCGAGGTCCGGGTCTGGCGCACCGCGGGAGGCAGGCACTCGCACTCTCCGAAGCCGCCTCCTTCCTCGGGTCTCTCTGTACCCTCCGGTCTCTGCCGAGCTTCCGCGCGTAAACCGACAACCGGTCTCCACCTCCTGAGCTGGGCGCGCATCCCTCTCCAATCCCAGCTTACATAAGGAAGCCGGGCGCGCTCCCGCCGCTGCTTACCCCCCAGTGGAGTTGGGCTGCGTCTTCCACGCCTTCTCGGCTAGCCCCTCCGAGCATCCAGGAGCCCCACACTGGGAGGTGACCCTCCTTGGTCACCCAGCAGCGACAGTCGGGTCCTCTCCGTGCGGCGTGAGAACACTGAGACTGGAGACCGGAGCTCCTCACTGTGCCCAACTCCCTCCCTTCTCTCCCTCCTCCTCCCAGTTCTCTCTTCCTCCGCTCCCCCCCGCCCCCACCTTCGCCCGCCGGTGCCTGCGTGTGTTCGGCACTGGCGAGCGGACCGGGAGAGCAGTCCAGGCTCGGCGCGCGGCGGAGCTGTGGCTGCTGCTGCTGCTGCTGCTGGGGAGGAGCGGCGAGGTAGCTGCCTTGCGCCTCCCCGCACTCCCCAATTGGGGGCAGAGCCGCCGCTCTCGGAGCTGCCAGTTAGCAGGCACGGGGAAAGAGGGACCTGCAAACTCCTCCTCAGCGTCTCCTCTCCACCCCCTTTTGGCCCCTGCCCTTGGAGAAAGTGGAGTGTGGCGCTTGGTTCTCATTATTTCTTCGGACTGCCTCTCGGTGCGCGGATTCAGCTGCTGCCCAGTAGGGCTTTCGCTGTTCGCGAGTCTGTGTGTGGTTCCCCCCGGCACACCTCTGTCGACGATGAGGAAAGGTCTGCGGGCGACAGCGGCCCGCTGCGGACTGGGACTGGGATACGTGCTGCAAACGCTCGTGCTACCTGCCCTGGCCCTGCTCAGCGCCAGCGGCACCGGCTCCGCGGCTCAAGGTAAGGGGGTCCGCCGAGCTCCGCGGCACCTCCCTTCGCTTCCCCTTTCCCTCCTTCTTCCTCTCTTCCTCCCCACTTCTCCTAGCTTCCTTAATCTGTCTTGTTGAACTCAACTGGAAATCACTTTAAATTCCACTTTCCCAAGTAAGTCAGGAAGCTTTGGTTATTATTTTTCATCTGTCTTCCGAGGTGGGTATGGATGGACCAGGGACGCACGGGGTCTGCCTCTGGGCATGTGGGTACCTTGGGTGTCTTTTGCACTTTCTGCTCCACACGCACGCGATGTTGCATATAGTACACACACAGGTTCGGAAAGACTGTCGGTGCGGGTTTGTGTGGCAGCCACAGATGCATCCTGATGCACAGAAGCTCCCCGCGCTGTGCCACGTCCGGGGTGGCGGGATCTTCAGAGAGTCTCTGCGCACGCCAGATGCGGAAGGGCGCTGTGCTAAGGAAATGCGTCCGTTACGGCCGAGGACTCACCGCGCTGGTGCCCCTCGGCTGCTGCTCAGGGCGCCGTGGAGACACAGAGCACACCCGGACCCGCGCGACCCAGCCTGCGGCAGGCCCCGGGTTGTGCACGCCTCCGAACTCACAGCCTCTCGGTGTCTCACTCCCAGCTGGCGACCGAGAAACTTAAACCCCAGACCTCTGGGAGAATAGGCTGGTCGCTCAAAACAAATCCGAAACTCCCCGGGGTAACAGTCCGGTTTACAACTCTGACATTTTAATTTAACGCGTCTGAGCTTCAAAATAAGTGTCCGGGGCCGTGGCAAAACCTGGGTTGGGAGAAGAGTGGCGGGGAGTTGAGGGTGGGTAAGAAGGAGGGCAGGAACGGGGGCTGATCGTCCCTTCTTGTCCCCTGAGTTTGAATTGCTAGTGGCAGCTCCCAGCCTTCTGAGCCCGGGAAGCTGAATGGAAGGGAGACTGAGAGGAAAGAGCCCACAGTACCCCTCTCCGCGGTCCGTATCGGGTCCCCTTGGCCCCAACCTCCTGGCCAACCGGAGCGCCAACCTCAATCTTTCCGACCAGTTTTGTGGTGGTTGCTGGCCCTGGAGAGACTGCTCAGCTTTCCCTTGAGGCGGGGGTGAGGTTGGGGGTGGGAATGGAGGAAGCCTCTGCAGCATTTGGAGATAATTCAGCCATCCTATCATCTTGGTTACATTTCTTTACAAATTGGGAGAGCGGAGGAGGTGCGGCGATACCCCAAACTCCCTGGGCGCTGCTCAGACACTGGGGGCCCCGACAGCGTTCTCTCTGATCTGCGAGGGCGCTGGGAGCGAGGGCGTGGGAGGTGGAGGGGCGCCCCGCGCGTAGGCTAGTGTGGTCCGGGTGGAGAGGTAAGTGATTAGCAAGGCTTTGTGAATTAGCCATAGCTACTTCAGGAGTAAATTTTCCTGCTGCCGCGCTAAGTGGCCACGCTCATAAATCCTTCCCTTCTTGCCAGATGCCTCTCATCCCGAGGTTCTGCCCTGGTTTTCTTGTGCATACTTCCAGAGCGCATCTGTCCATTTTACAGAGGAATGTCCATTGAGACGCATTTGAACTTGCAGATTTCTTGAAATTGGTTAAGAAGTTTTCAGGGCGGCAGCCAAGGGTGCTTGGGGTGGGGCGCGGGGGGGCGGGTGGAGGTTGAAAGTTTAAGTGGGCAACCTGATGAATAGTTGTGTAATCATCAGCGTGACTCTCTGTGGAATTCGCCTGCTGTTACTGGGTGCACAACGCGTGGGGTGGTGACTGGGAGGGGGACCAGACAGTGAGAGGACAAGTTAAAGTCCCCAAAGATGCCAGAAAGGAGATCCAAAATCCCTGCCCAGAGCCTATTACGGCCAAACTAAAAAGACTGCATAGGAAAAAGGATCAATAAAGATAATCAAACCGGAGATTGCAAATGGATTAATATTGAGAGGAGAAGAGAGAAGAGATGAAAAGAAAACATGCTCAGGATAGATAGCATTTGCCACTTGCGTTGTTTTTCTTCTTATAGATCAGTCAAGACAGATATTGAGAATTGAACCTGCTCTTAGGGTCCTAAGTGGAAAAATAAAATGTATTCTGTTGGGTGTGTGTATTTCAGTGTCCTTCACCTCCATTTAATTTATTTAGTTCTTTCAGTTCCTGGTGAAAAAACTACTTATTTATGTTTGAATCTTGTGGTCTTTGGAAGACATTATTCCACCACTTTTATCTTTGCTATCCTCCATGTTCCCTGACACCAGCTCTTCCTGTGTTGTCTGTTAGGTATCAAAAACGTGGAATGTGCCAAACTCTACTATCAGCTACAGATCCCCACCACTCTCATCCATTCCCCCAGCCTGTTTACTATCCAAACACTGTGATAATTCCTTCCCAGAATCAGAATTTTATCATGGTCTTATGTTCAGATCTCCTTTTCCTTCTAATTTTTCACCCATCCTCCTCTCTGAGGACTAGAATACCAGCAAAACACAAGATGCTGTTTGCTCCTTCCAGGTATGATTTCCATGTGCTGAGGATTTAAAGATCAGAATGAACTATTTTTATGAATGGCGGTACATATGCAATTAAGATGAGAAAGTTCATTTAAGCACTTTACATTGCGGATGAGGTTTTTATTTTGTTGTTAGAGAAGTACTGGAAAAATAAGAAGTTTTAGGAAATATATCTCTTCACAGATAGCCAAGAAAACAACAGATGTTTAAGATGAAAAAACTTGAGTGTTGTTTGTGAGTGTACTGTGTTTTGTAACTGTGGTTTAAAGAAAGACAGAAGTCATTTTAAACAGGACCTTGGTAGATTCTCTAGGCTTTAGGCAACAACTTTCTCCTTTCTGGCTATGCCCTATTTGTTTTATTCAGGATTGCTGGGAACTCCTAGCTCCAGGGGATTTGTGGTGTTTCTGACTTCCAAGAATGAAAGATTCTAGTAGGAAAACTCTGTGTGTGTGTGTGTGTGTGTGTGTGTGTGTGTGTGTGTGTGTTTGAACTATGTGCCTTAGAATTAGTGCCCTTCTCTTTTATAAATGCATTTTATTTCTGGACTGCACAGCATTGATATTCTGCTTATCTAGCACCAACTAGTGTTTTGAGTGTTAACACCACCAAACCAGAACAGAAATTTACTGAAGATTCTAATCATATTAGGACAATTATCTATCATAAATTGACTTATAATGTTGTCTAAAAATAAGATATACTGTCCATAAGACAGTAAAAATTACTTTCATGCACTTACGCATATTAGTACGATACAACCAGACAATTGGCATGACAAAAACCCTGAATTTTATTAAAATTACATTATATATTTTTCCATTCTAGAAGCAGAGTAAATTCATAAATTCACATTTGGAGTCTGCAGTAAGGAAAAGTAGGTTAGCTTACCTTTGTTTAGAAAAGTAAATTAATGCATTCTTGCTTAGGGAATGCTTAAAAGGTTTCAAAGAACAAACTTCTCAAGTACTTGCAAAGAGTGAGGAACCATTAGATTGTTAACATTTATTGACTTTGGCCTTCTGTGTTCTGGATACTGGGAATTCAGTTCAACAATACCGGGTCCTCGAGCATCTCCCATTGTAGGCCTAATCGGAATCCATGCCAGTCTTTTTAAGCAAGCCCCCAAGGGCATGAACAGGAACAGCTCTACTAAGTAAACCCCCTTAGCTTATTTATAATTATTGTTGAAACTTAAAAGTAACTGTTCTCTAATGTATGCTAGGTTCTCCAATTAGTGCAAAATGAACAGCCAGAGTGTGGTCTGTTCGGCCTTAACTGCATTGAACACTTTTTTGATTTAGGTCATGGCTTTGCTGGAGCAGCAGAGGGAGTCACTCTCAGAAGAAGCATTAAAATCACAGGCTGCAAGCACTTCAGGGAGATAATGAGGGCGGGGCGGGGGGGGGGGGAGCATGTGTTGGGACACAGATTGAGCCAGCACTCTTGTCTTCCGATTTTAGCCTGCATCTTTTTCAATCTGACTTTCGTATCTGTGGCAGTTAAAAACAAACCTGTTCGCATTTCCTCACAAATTAAAAACTCACTAGCTTATTTGGATAGTGGTGGTATTAGAAGTAAAGTTCTTAACAAACAAGTATTGTGCACTTATTATGTGCCAGGTTGTGTGCTAATTGTTACGGGACACAGAGTTGAATGAGACAGTTTTTCAGCCTTGAAGGAAGACAAATTTATAAACATGTAACTATAATTCACATTCTGAAATACAGCAGTAGGCTCAGGTATAGTACTTTCTGGAGGCAAGCTTCCAAAGAGAAACAAAGTAAACAAACATAAGTCAGGCTAGGGGATGGTGCTGGAGGTTGGGAAATTTCTACCCAACCTCCAGAGGAATTGAGGGTGGCAGTTTGGAGGGAAGCTTGCATCATATATATTAGATTTAATATATATTCGGTCCAGTTTGCAGAAGGCACAAGCTAAAGTCTGTTAGTGTTATGTGCCCATTCTGCCAGTTATCTTAGTGGTTACCACTATCTCAACATCCTGCCTCCACCCCTCCTAGGTATTTTGCCACAAATGAGTTATTTAGTGTCCTTGTGCCTCAGTTTTCTCCAATATAAAATGAGAATAATATATACTACAAGCCATATTAGGAGTGAATGAATTAATATATGTGAAGTATTTACAGCAGTATTCTTTGTCTTCCAACAGTGTAAACCACTGGCAAAGAACTCCAAAAGCTGAAGAAATTAAAGGTCAATAATTTATTTTTATCCTCCCCTAAGGATGTGTGTATTGATTTTAGAGAGAAAGGAGGAGGGTAGAAAGAGAGAGAGAGAGAAACATCAATGTGAGAGCGAAGTTCTTGATCAGTTGCTTCCTGTATGTGCCCAACCATGAATGGAGCCCACAACCTAGTTATGTGCCTTGACTGGGAATCTAACCCACAGCCTTTTGGTGTACAGGATTATGTTTAATCAATTGTGCCACTTGGTCAGGGCCAAAGGTCTATGATTTTGAACTCAGAGTGGGATGGCTATAGATACTTTTTCCCTAAAAGCAGCACCT